CCGAGAGCGGGACGCAGCAGCGCGCGCAGGGACAGGCCGCCTGGGTTTCGTTAGCACGTGCACGGCGAGCTGAGGCTTGCTTTTTTTTTTTTTTTAATTTTCTTCCCCATGCAGGAAATATTTCCTGCCTGCGTAGAGGTAAACACAGCCATTTAGGCTGCTAAAAGCAGCTGCTGAAATTTGCTTTTTTTTTCCTGCATATCCTGCCACTTATGAGAGAAGTCAAAACCCCTTTGGCCCTATGCGTTTTGGCAAAACCGCTGATCGTGAGCCTGGCAGGGCCTAACACCCCCCTAACGAGAGCCGTTTTCATCTGGAGCGCCCAAATGGTGGTTTATATCGTTGTGCATTTTTCAGTTACCAAATGCTCTTTCGAACATGGCCAGATCTCCTTGTCAAAACCCACCGCGCTGTCCCGCCGTCCTTTCCCCGCTTCTCCTCCGCGATGGCACCCGCAAAACCCCAGGCAGCGGAGACCCAGCAGGAGCGCTGCGCCTGCTGCTTCCCCTGCTAATCGCTGTAGCTAATTAGACCTGCCCATACCTTCTGTGCGTCTGCTACGTAAACTTCCTTGTTTCGACTTATATCCGAACTGCAAGGCCTTCGGCAGTCTCTTACCGTTTGTAAAGCAGAACGACTCGCACCGAGGGATGCAGGCTCCTCGGGGCGGCAGGAAGACACTGCAAACACACTGCCGAAGCGCGGCCAGCAGGTGATACTCCCGACTGCATGTGCCAGCACAGAAACGGCAAACTTAGCTTACGGATAGCAGGGCAAGACCCTTCCACACGTGCCATCATTCAGCACAGTAAAAGGCCAGGCAGAGCTCCTACAGGCACACCAATCCCATGCCCAAAGGATAGAAATACGAGCCGTGTGCCGCTCGCTAGCTACCTCTGTACTGCATTGAAACGGCAGCTCTGCAGCAGGCACAAATTCGGCATGCACAAATTCAGTGTGCTCCCCAGCCCGCCGCCTGCCTGCGGGCTGCCGGCGCTGACACCCCCAGCGAAGCACTGACCCTGGGCCCCACAGGATCCACGCGGAGGGCACCCTCCTGCCACTGCTGAAGCCAAAATTAAGGGTTCCATAGGGTAAATCTGTTCTGAGAGCAGCCTCGGGGCCGGATTGAACGGACAGCATAGGAGGGCTTTAGGGAGCGGGGACAGACAGCCTCGACGTCTGAACTTGCGATCGCAAGGCAGGTCCTACCTTTCACGCTTAAACGCTTGCCCAGCAGTATCTCTGCAACCTCATCCTCTTCACAGCTACACACCGAGCTGAATAAAGAAGTCTTTATTGTCAGAGCAGCTTGGGGGAACAAAGGGAGACTTTTAAAATCGGGGCCATAATGAATACATTGCATGTGAGCGCAGCTGGCTTCGAAGCTGTTCGGCTGAGAGCTACGGGGAGGTGGCACAGGTTATTTCAGTTCTGCAGCTTGCCTGCTCCTGTAGAAGAGATTCATGATGGAGTTGAGATAGCTATCAAGCGCAGGAAAGGAGGAAAGAAACGACAGGAATTGCCCTAGAGATTGCTAATAACACAGCATCCAAGCACTGGCAGGCGTGGGGTAAGTCCCCATGGGGGGAGCAGCAAAATGACTCTTGCAGGGGAGGTGGCAAAACAGAGAAAAAGGACAAACTTCTCCTGCTCACATGCGGGGCACATTCTTTTCCAGCTCTGATGCCCAATCACTAGGAAATCTGAGAAAGTCACTTAACTGGAGCATTTCTAGTACACACTGCCTCACAGGAAGAGGAGGGTAAATGTTCCTGGCCAATAATGTCCTTTTAGCCAAGAAGAGTAACTGCAGGGCGCAAAAGCTTAGTTTGACCCTTGCCTAAAAAGCATGGGAGGAAAGTCCCCTGTGTCTTAGTACACAGGCCTTCCCTCTCTCCTCACATGCTGTAAGAATTACTTGTAATTGCAACCAGCACAACAGGCAGGAGGTACTTTGCACGAGCAAAAAAAGCCAGGATGAATAAGACTGGCAGAACCGGGCTCCTGCCTTACACAGGCACAGACGTTAAGAACCATAAAATTGTCCTTCTCATTAAAAAAGGAAACCAAACTGCACAACTCCTCAAGGTGTTTTTCTGTATCTCTGTTCTACGTTTTCTGCCATCCCCTTAAGGCTGAGTTCCAGGCATTTGTGCTGTCTTTCTCTCATCAACAGAATCATTTTGGAATTTATTTCTTGTAGAGTAGCTTCATCAAATCTTTCTCGTGCCAAAGAAAGACGCTCAAGAGTTGTCACTGGAAGCTACATTTCTGATATAGCTGAAAAATTCAGAGCCAGTTTACAAGCAGTCTGCAACACTGACAGTTAAAGCACTTCTTGGGAAATTAAATTGCACAAAGATAGTGTTGTTAACAGTTCGCCAATTACTGAAAAAAGGAACTGCCTTTTTTTCATGCAGAGATGATAGGTGTTTGTTAATAAAATTACTACTATGAAATCAGCATAGCTTCGTTTGCTCAAGAGACCCTGGTCAGAAAATGGAAGATATTTCCAGATTCCTTGGGCTTCGTTAATGACAATTAACTGTACAGAGAAAGGGAGAAAGGAATTCTCCTTTGTGGAGCATTACCCAAGAATTATAACGCTATGACAGACATCAAAACACAGCTCTAATCACCCATCACAGTGACTAACCTCCGACAACTGTCATAACGTGAAATACGAGCGTGCTTTTTCTTTTGGTATCTGTGCAGGGCAGGCAGGGCCAGGGCTC